ATCCAGATAGCCTGAAAAGGCAGGTTGTAACCATACACCTTTGATTTACATGTTTGCTGGCATGTAACCTTTTTCTCCAAAACTCGGAAATTCTGGCAGCCTGGTTGGTTCCATTTGGCCCTTCTTCAAAGGCTGGCTCTTTGTCCAATTTTACAAGTTCTAACTTCATTTTATAGGTCTAGTCTTTATAATAGCACTGTCGAAAGTTCAGGTTACCTTTCTACTCAGGTCTTCTAAGTGGACTTCCTTCCTCCTACCTGGTTCCTATGATTTACATGGCCTAAGGACTTATCTTGAGTTCACACCACCCAGTACCAGTTTGTGTTCTTTCATACAATATTGCACAAATGCCTAGACCTTTCAGTCAGGCTGATATGATATAAGTTACAGATATCCTATCTCAACTAATCACGGAAGACAGTTAGTCATAACACAGAAAGAATTGTAAATTTTTACAGTCACTGGGATTTGAACTCTAGACCTGTCACTTGGGGGTTGACAACCTATCCACTTTACTAGGTCACCACACTCCAACTAATCTTTTAGTTAAAATCTTTATTATATATTTTTAAATATTTTTAGTAAGATTATTAGTCTAATATTACTAAGATTAAGAGTGTGACAATCTAGTGAAGTAGATAAGTTGTCAACTTCCAAGTGGCAGATCTAGAGTTCAAATCCCAGTAATAACAAAAATTTGCAATTCTTTTTGTGTTATGGTTAACTATCTTCTGTGATTGGTTGAATAAGATATCTGTAATCTGTGTCATATTAGCATGACTGGAAGGTCTAAGCACTTATACAATATTATATAAAGGAACACAAATTGGTACCAGATGATGTAAACCCAAGATAATTCCTTAAACTATATAAATTACAGAAACCAGATAAAAAAATAGAAGCCTACTTAGAAGATCCAAGTAGAAAGATAACCTGAACCTTTGACAGTACTACTATAAAGACTAGACTTAAAAATAGAGTTAGAACTTATGAAACTAGACAAATATGCTGGTTTTTGAGAAAGAATCAAATGAACCAACCAGGCCATCAAAATTTCTGAGTTTTAGAAGAAAAAAGTACATGCTAGCAAATATGTAAACCAAAGATGTATAGTTTTGACCTACTTTTTTAAGCTATTTGGAATAACAACTTGGTGGAACTTGAATTGAATACCAAAGTAGTAAGGATGTTGTGAAATCAGTACCAAAATTGAAGTGAACTCTACAAAGACATAGCAGTTTAATGATATGCCCTAACTGCTAGTGTTGGTCTTAACCATAGCAATACTAGGTCAGTTATAAAAATGAGATACAGAAGATTCTGGAAGGTTTAGTATAAGGTCAAAGGTTCCAAAGAACTGCTTTAAAGACTTAGTGATTATGACAAATTTTTATCAGCATTGGCTAGAGTTATTGGTAGACAGAAGTAGATGAATGGATATAAAAACTAAAGTGATTAAATAGAGAACCTACAAGCAGGTTTCAGGTATAGCAGCTAGTATAAAACCTTTGAGCAGACTACTTAAATTAGACAATGACTAAAGTTGTACAAGTGGCTAGTTGTATACTTTTTCTATAATTGCCCTTTGTGATTGTAATGTAACCATTAACCAAATATACTATTAATAAAATTCTGAATCACAATACTTATCTTAATATTTAAAAAAAAAAAATTACTAAGATTATAATGTTAGTTTTTTTTTTAAGTATCAAATATATTTATAATATTTTTTATTTTTCTGATATTATATCTGTTTTAATACAAATTTTAACAAATATTTTAAATATCTTTTAAATTATAAGTTTTGGTTAAATTAATATATAAATAATAACTAAAATTTCTAATGCTATTTTTTTCTTTAACTATAATAGTATTTTATTCATTTTTTTAAATTATATTTTAGTTTCAATCTTTTTTTTATTATTAAAAATCATAATTCATAGTGATTAATTTTATTAATATATATTAAAATTAATATTACAACTATTTTTACAGAAATAAGAATACATGCAATTTTTGATTGCCTATTCAAGTAATCCACTCTGAGGTTTTATACTAGATGCCATGCCTATAATCTACTAAGAGATTATTCATTTAAACCCTCTAATCATCTGTTCCATTAATCATTTTAATTACCACAAGCCCTCTGTACATACTTAATCAGTATACCATCTGAGCAGTATAATACCTTCTCTTTTTGAACTGGTACTCAAGCCGTTACACATTTCAGAGTATGACACCTGCTAATTTATGTAAATAAAAACGTGACTAATAGTCAATAAAATCAATTAAAGAAAAGATATACTAATACGAATAAATATTTTGAATAATAATTGTATTATAATAACCTTTTCTAGAGACCCTTAGTCCATATAATTAATAAAATAATGCTAGCTATACATATTTATTAACATTTAAACTGAACTTCAGTAAATACATTAAAATAATAGGAGATTTGATAGTCACTATAAAAATTTAATTTACAAATTACATATTATTTTATGTAGAAACTAAGACTCCTTTTTAATCTTCAAAGAAAAATCTACATGTCTCACTCCCTGAGACAAACATCCCAGACTTAAAATGTCAATATCTGATATAGTCCACATAAATACATGCTAAATCAGCATAAATGAAAAATCTGTCGTAAATAGTACCAAATAAAAATATCACATACCGGGACAAAAAAATTCGGTAATATTTTCTTCTGTAATTCCACCACTAGATTCGAGTAAAAATTTTTTATCCGTCCATTTTTGTTTTAAAGATTTTGCACAAGATTTTAAATTTTTGCTTTCAAAATTGTCAAGCATAATCACATCTGCTCCTGCTTGAATTGCTTCATCGGCTTCTGCTTCGGTCCGACATTCAACGTCTATCTTTAGTGAAAACCCACCAACATTTCTAGCACGTTCGATTGCCTTTGTTATTGACCCTGAGAAATGAATAGCAAGTTACATTATGTAGTCGATGGTGATTTTTAACAAGGATACGAAAATAGTGAACCTTGACTCCAGATATGATTGTCTTTTAGCATTACCATTGAAGAGAGATTCATACGATGAGTATCGGCTCCTCCGATAAGCATCCCATATTTCTCAACAAGACGAAATCCTGTATAATGCGTAAATATCGTATGATAAATTATTATTACACTTTGTAATAATTGATATCATAATTATTATTATGGATACCCGGTGTCGTTTTTCGCGTTCCTGCAATTATGCCTTTAAAGTTATGCACCTTTTTAAGGTCTATACATTTCTTGCTTCTGTAGAGAAGAGAGAAAAAAAATGTATTATTTTCAATTTAAATTCAATTTGCGTTGCAATTTTTAATAATATAAATTTAGTAGTTCACCTCCCTAGTTGCTATTCCACTACAACGTGCGATGATATTGAGAGCAGTACGTTCACCCAAGAGAATATTACAAGCTTTTCCTTTAACTTTAGCAATTTCTTTTATTGGTTCAAAATAGTCGCCTTCTTTCAAAAACCACTCAACTCTTTGAAAAACAATAAAATTAATTATTCAAGAATTAAATCATCCAAAAAAACAAACAACAATTCACTAATTAAAATCAACCTGCAGTCCAATTGATTGAAAACTTCATCGAAAAATGGTACACCGGCAAGAACTCCCTTGCAGCAGCATAAAACGAACGGTTATTTAATTATAACAATTAACATTAATGCTAAAGCCGAAATGCTTAATCCGGTTAAAATTTACAGGTGATTTCCCATATAATATCGCAACTTCCGGAGTTTCTCCAACAACAAATCCTCCATAATCAAAGGATGGTACATCTTCTTTAATCCAAGAAATAATATCATACTTGAAGGATGCGGGAATAAGATTTGTGTAATCACTTGTTGACATTATTCAAAACAAACCGAGATTCGCAATTTGGTTAATTTGTAAATTTGTAGATATATTATTGTCAATATCAATACCAAATATTGTAATAATTGGATTCCGAATCTATTGAAAAAATATAGATTCGCTTCGCCAAAATTAGAATTATCGTTATGTATTTGGCGACTTATGATAGGGTTGTAGTTTTATGTAATTTTATGCTTAGCGTTAGTAAATTGAAACTTCACGTATGAACATATTGATGCAATAATTAATTTACTTATTTTTTTCACGAGTGACACAAACCAATAAAGGATGTAATTAATGAGTAACTACAAAAGTTTTAGGGTTAGAACATTAAAGACCAAAATCGATTTCGACGTTAGTTCTGATTATTTTCTACTACCCCAAGAACACCTCCAATTTTTCTGCGCAATCATGTGATATTACGTAATAATCAGATAAGGGATGATCAATTTTGTAATTTATGTAATATCAATACATACTATAAATTACTATATTATACTATATACGTATTAATTACGTACTATTGGATTTATACTTTTATGTAGTACAATATAATTTTTTTTTGCATTTATATAAATAATGATAAGAAAAATTTTTTTTCTTTTTTATAAAGCAAAAATAAAGAGAAAACATGAATAAAACTAAAATTAATACAAATAAAAATAATATATTATATGAATGTACAAAATGTCAGAGGTTAATATTTATAAATAAATTTATTAAAAAAAAACAATACCTTAAATTCTTGTAAATCTTGTCATTAACAGTCTTTAGATCATTATAAAGTTTCAATCAAATAAAATAAAAATGATGTATTGTCTTTTGAAAAAATAACAAAAATTTTTTAATAAAATTTTTGTAGTTGTACTTAATAAATATTTTGAAAATGAATTAGTCAGAATGAATTTTAAGTCAAGTATTGTATTGAATGATTTTAAAGATAAAAAAGATATTTTATAAAAAATAGTAAAAAAAATTATGAATTTGATAGATGATAGTGATAATTATTATTGTATTTATTTTAATTATTATGATTCAAAAAAAAACAATAAATTATATATATTTTAATATTGATGTTCATAATATTAAAGTTTATTAAAAAAATCTTACAACCATCAAGATTCTGAATGTCAGAAAGATCATGAATCAATTGAACATTTTAATTGTAATAATACACTTAGAATTTTTATAAATACATTGACCAATAATGTATCTATTTATCTTAAATATAATATACTTTGCTAATAACTTAAAAAAAATCAAATTACAAAAAAAATCAAAAATAAGATCAAAACTAATCTTCATTTAATATCAAATGATATTTTTAAAATATTAAAATATGATCATTCTGAAATAACCCAAAAACAAATTTATGTATAATGGACAATATTTATTAAAAGAATGTTATTCAAAATATAGATCAAATAAAATTAATAAAAATTCTTTTAGAGAAATATCATTATCAAATTGTTATATTTAATGATAATAAAATTGTATTTTTAGACTTTGTTATATCATTTTTTGAATAATTTAAAAAAAACAAGAAAATTTTTGTTGATGTAATCTATAAAACTAATAAGTTAGAACATGAGTTTTATTTAATAATTAGTTAATATAATAAAGCAGCATTTGCATTAGCTTACTTATTTATTGAAAGAAATAAACAAACTAATACATAAACTAAAGTTTTAGTTAATTTTTTTAAAATATTATTAAATTTAAAAATAGACCAACTTATTTATATATATATTAATAAAGATTTTGCTTAAATCTTAGTAACATAAAAAGCATAGTCAAATATTAAAATATAACTTTGTTATTAGGCCTCCGCATGGGCTCAGGCTATCTACAGATACCTATGGGTAGTATCATAAGGACTGAACTAGAGTATTAATTTTTAAACCCTAGGGCAAGGGTAAGAGTCTAGAAGATTAAGCCCTTACATATGAGGGTAGGGCTTAGTTATTATTATACTTGGCTCATATCTTAGCAGGTACTCATTAAAAATATTAATATTATACATCTAGAAGTTACACGAACTTAAATGCATAAATGCATAAATGCAGCCAATCAAATTTGATTTCTTGCATGTATAACTTTCAAACGTGCAACAAAAATAAAATTATAGATATAAATTATTAAGGAGAACAAAAATATACATAGTATTTACTTTCTAATAATTTTTTAAAAAGGACAAGTAGATAATTTTCTATTTGATCAAATTATTAATAATAACCTTATTTATACTAATCTGGTTGCAATGCATGTTTCGAGTCATAACTTTAAATCAGGTTTATTCGAGTTTACAATATGACAGAAATAAATAAAATTAAAAATGGTATTTTTAAGAGAATTATAATGATAATGAATAAATAAGTAATAGCAATAACATGTTATAAGAAAACCTTATTTTATGATGATCTGGAACAGTGCACATATAGAGTAATAACTTTATTCAAAAACTGGTTGACAATATAAAGAAGACAAATAAGTATTAGATTTAAGGAATTTTAAGAGTTTTAAGAGTTGCGCTTTATTTATAACTTATTTAATATGATCTGAAACAATGCGCATATAGAGTAATAACTTTATTCATAATCGAATTTACAACATGTCAAAGACTAATAGTATCGAATTTAAGAAATTTTAAGAGTTTTTAAGAGTTAAATTTTATTTATAATTTATCTAACACAAAACTATTAATTCAGAACTTACTATCAAAAATAAATAAAAACCATTAATGAAACTAATTAAAAAATCAACCAAACTTACTAAAGAATCTAACTAACAAAAAAAAAAAAACAATTAACAAAACTAGCTAAGAAACAAAAAAATTATTGAACTAAACATAGATAATTATGATCTGAATGATTACGATTAGAATAACTATGACTAAAATAATTATGATCAGGATAACCATGACCAAAATAACTATGACCAGGATAACTATAATCAGGATAACTATGATCAGGATAACTATGATCAGGATAACTACGATCAGAATTATCATGATGAAGATAGCCATGATCAAGATACTGCAAATGCAAGAAGTTCTGAAGATTCTGCTTCTACATTACTTGTACCAGAAGTATCAGAGTCATCCACCACTAATCCAGTTGACTCACAAAAAATCAAGTTTTCTGTCTGAGCACATTTTTCTTTATTAACAAATAAAGAAAAGGCTGTCTGCAATTATTGTAAATACCAACTAAGTCATAAAAAAGGTACTGGAATGTTTCATCTTCACCGTCATCTCAAATCATGCAAAAAGTATCAAAAATTGGTTCCAAAAGATGGTTCAGCAGAACTACCTAAAGGTTAAACACAATTGAAGTTTAGTTCATTAATAAAGCCTTCAAACAACTCAATCCAAAAAAACTTAGTTGATATAATAATTAGAGATGAACTAAGTTTTCAG